GATTGCCGGTCACAGTAGCCTCACGGTCTAAGGCATGAACTGTCTTTGCCCGGGTTCGAATCCCACTCAAAGCATGGATATTTGTGTGAGCGTTTATTCTGTGTTTGTGTTGTCCTGTGTGTAGGTAGAGGCCTTCCGACGGGCTGATCCCCCGTCCAAGGTCCTATCGACTGTGTAAAAATGATTACGAAACTGAAGAAGAGTCCAAGGCCCAACGAGGGGCTGTAGAGCCAATGGTGAATGAATGCACAATGGAACTGGCTGATTGTGCAGTTTCAGGTTTCGGACTTCTTGGCTATGCCATCTGCGAGAGTATTTATTGTTATTATTATTATTATTATTATTATTATGGCTCTACAGCCCTTTGTTGGGCTTTGGCCGCTTTTTCAGTTTCTTGGTCCTATAGACAGTCAGTGGGATTCCTTGGACGAGTGAATTCCCTTCACAAGGCCTCCACCTACACGCAGAACAGTACAGACAGAATAGACGCACACAGTACAGATATCCATGCCACGAGTAACATTCGAACCCACGATCCCAGTGTTCGAGCGAGCGAAGACAGTTCATGCGATGGCTTAGACCAGGGGTCTCCAAACTTTTCGAAACGCAGGCCACATTAGGTAATTCAGCACTTTCAACGGGCCGGACAAAATGAGAAATTAATAACTCAAGGTATATGAGTTTTATTGAAAGCGCAGAATTTCGTAAACTAAATACAAAGTACGTGAGAATAAATTATCGTATATTAATGACGACAGTAGCAGCAAATGCTCATATTTTCATCACAAATTATAATAAAACAATTAATGTGAATGATGGAACTCTTTTTGCATTCTTAAAATCTGATTAAATTGAGGTTCAAAGTTTGAAATGCTATTCACAAGTAGCGACTTTAAATGTTCATCGGATAAATTTGCCCTGTATTTCGACTTGATGTACTTCATCTGGGAAAAAGTTTGTTCACACAGATATGTCGTCCCAAAAATGGAGATAAATTTACAAGCAAATTTCTTTAAATTTGGAAATTGCTCAGAGTTAAGAAATTTATAAAATTCGATCAAATCTCCTTCCTTGTATTTGTTTTTAATATGATAATTTTCCTGAAGTTCAATAATTTCCATTTGAATTTGACTTGGGACATCTGCAGCATCACAGCCAAACGGATTTTGAAACAATCTAATTTCCTGAGCACTGGAATCCAAATCAGGAATTCGCTTCCGATATTGTTCCTTCAAATCTGAAATGACTAAATTTGCAAACGAAGAAGGAAACTCTGCTTCACCCTTTTTATGCAACTCTGCACAGTATAGCATATGAACAAAGTTACAATTTTTCACTTGGCTTTCCAGAAGTATCAACTTTGTTCTGAATGCCTTGAGAAGTGCAAATAAATCGCAGACTAAGTTATTTTCACCCTGCAACTTTAAATTCAAATGGTTCATATGGTTCACCACATCAGCAAAAAATGCTAATTTCCAAAGCCCCTCGGTATCTGGTAAAAGTGGTTCGTGATGGTTTTTCTCAGTAAGAAATATATCAATTTCATTCCTGAGCTGAAAGAAGCGCGAAAGAACCTTTCCACAGCTAAGCCATCGAACTGCAGTATAATATGTCAGGTCAGTAAGCTCGGAATCACATTTACCAGTACTCACTGGAAAATTAGTTCAATTGGCGCATTTCTGCACAATTTTTCGCGGGCCGGATGTGGCCCGCGGGCCGTAGTTTGGAGACCCTAGGCTTAGACCACGCGGGCTCTGGGGACTATTATTGTGACGTAAACCAGAGCAGAGCCGCAGTGTTAAAAGTTAGGGACCCTCGGTTGTGATCTGGAAGAAAGAATTACAGTGAAGAGAGGTGTAGACTCTCCCGCGATAAGCAGGGGAGTGGGTCAACGTAATTAGTGACGCTATCACTAGATTGAACTAAACAGAACTCTTCTTCCAGCTACACAGGATGTGACGTTCATAATGCCAGTGGCTTGCTATCTTCTGGGATGTGCCATCGCATAGTCTTGGAGGTGATTGAGTATGTAACCATGAGTACGATCTCAAAGCAGTTTCACTAAACACTTTGGAGTTTGAAATTCATCTAAATAACTTATGTAGTAATTCAGTTCCTACCTCACAGGAATCACATCGTGTTTAGAGCAATAATCGATGTTTCGTCGGGTTCGATCCCAGATGAGATTTATAATGGACAAAGTGGCAATGGGGCGGGCCTTCTCAGAGTACCTGTTTTTCTTGGGATTGCACGCGATAGCGCAGTTGCTTGAGGCACTGTGCTACAAGCCGGAATGTCACGGGTTCGATTCCCGATTAGGTCATTGGATTTTTTACAATTGACCCAAACCTTCCGGCCGAGCTGTGGCCCTGGGGTCGACTGAGTTTCTAATAAAAATGAGCACCAGGACTCTTCCTGGGAGTCAAGGGCGGACGGCGCGTAAGGCTGACAGACTTACCGCCATCTGTGAGCCAGTTGTTTAGAAAATGTAGGAGCCTCGACGTCTGACAACCCTATGGGCCTTCACGGCCGGTTAGAGGGATAGCTTTACCTCGGTTTCTTCTGCCAATTCTCGTTCCACCAAATGCTTTACACTCGTCTGTCGTCACTATCATCATCATCATCATCATCATCAACATCAACGTCAACGTCATCTTCTCGAGCTGGTATAATGGGCCCAATAAGGGCCGGGCCGGAGTACGAGCTGGAGTCAGTCTCGTCCCTCTTCACGAATTGCAAAGAAATTCCTGTTTATTGTCAGAATCATACCAGTCCGTAATACCCTTTGTGGGCAGAATGCTGAGTGGCTGTTGTGTGTTAATTTGGGCGGTACATAAGGTTAGCATTATGTTCGAGCGTTCCTAAGGAGATGCAAGAGGAGTTCCGCAGCCCTGCTGTCCTGTCCGGTACGTTAGGCTTTAACCACAGAAACAAAGAATGAGGTATATGGAACGCTTCTCCCCTCCTGCACTAAAAAGCGGTAGGGTGCGAGTGTATGAAATATTGATCAGCAAAAGGGTTGAAACAGGGTCATGAGAGGGACAAAGGGAGGCGTGTATACTTGCAAATTTTGGCTTTGACAGGTGTGAATTCTGGCGATAATGATGTCACTAGTCCTGTATGTACCGATCGAATTTAATCAATATCTGCAGTTGATACAGCGTTGTTTAAGCCTGTGGATGATCCATTGAACATATGAAGTGTAGACCTATAATTTTTAGCGTGTTATTTTACTGACAGCAGCTGTAATATATCGTGTCGAATGGTGGGATAATTGGATTGAAAAACATTTGGAAGGGGTCGAAGTTCGAGTGCCGGTGGAGGCAAGAATTTTCTTTTCCCCATGTCGTCTAGACCGGCTCTGGGGTCCACCCAGTCTCCTATCCACTGGGTACCGGCGACTCTTTCCCTGGGGATAAAGTAGCCGAAGCGTGAATCTGACCACTCCACCTAATACTGAGGCTAAGAAATGGTGGGTCTAGACAACCCCTCCCCCAGACGTCTTCATGACGTAGTGCTTAATTAGTTAAGCATAAGGACAGCTTTACCTTACACTGTTCGTACCGGTACTTGGGGGCACCCAGTATCCGATATAATTTGGTACAGGAGGCTCTTTCCTCGGGGGTACAGTGGCAGGGGCATGAAGCTGGCCGTTCACCTCTACCTAGTGCCGACGTCATGAGTAGTGGAGCTATACCTCCACTCCACGTACGTGCTAGTGCCGTGAGACTCTGTACTGCGCATGCTGTGTCACGGTACAGAAGCATTGCCCCTCACCCATAACTCATGAGCACTTCCTGCACTTTCATATTCATTTACTCATCCTGACTAGAGAACTCTTGAAGCGGGACGGGGGTGGAGACAGGGTTGAGAAACTGCGAGTGTTTTGGACATCATCCACCATCTGTTTCTGAAACTGGTTTTGTTTCCGTCGTCAGTTTATACGAAATGGGACCGACTCTGCCGAACCCTGGGTAGAGGAGGTGAACAGTAAAATGTGGCCTTGAGTCCTGCGGGACTTGGAACCGAGAATGACTGTACTGGCGAGGGCTAGCAGCAATTTGCCCGTCATGTAAGAAACACTAACCTTGCGCCTACACTTATGGAGGAGGCCCCATTTCTAAACACGTACGTACATGTCTGGATGAGGACAAAAGTCTTTGTCGTACATCTCGACGAGACCTGAAGCCAAGAATGACTGTGCTGGTGAGGGCTAGCAGCAATTTGACCGACCGACCTCGGGAGAGTACTCTCACATCGGCCAGAGTTTATTAAAATTACTCTATCTCTTTCCTGCAGCTCCAACTTCGGAGTATAGGGCATCCGTGGAAGACTTTGTTTCACTTCAGTTTCTTAATCCTAAGACAGTCGGTGGGACTGCTTGGAAGGGGGATCAGCTCATCGCAAGGCTGCTACTTACACAGGACAACACAAACACAGAATAAACGCACGTAGACATCCATCCCTTGAATGGGATTCGAACTCACGATCCCAGTGTTCGAGCGGACGAAGACATTTCATACCTTAGACCACGTGGCCACTGTGATCGCCTTTATTAAAACTTTCACATTTCGGAAATTGTTTCTGTTTCTATCATCAGGTGTTAAGGACTCAAAAGAAATCGTACTGAATTGAACATCTCGGTAGAGCTACCATTTAACCGGTTTCAGAAATGGGTTTTAAACCTGTCTGCAAGTGAACGGGATGCGTAAGAAAACCGACTATTGTGTGTCATTCGGTACAGATTCTGTTGAAACCGCGACGTTTCGGAAATTGCTTTTACTTCCATTTTACTTTAATTTAAATAAACCAACCCTGTTGGGTCCCTCGGCAGAGCCACACTCAGATCGTAACTCTTGTTCGCCTGAAGTCGCAAATAGAACCGATTTCCGAATCCCAGCGGTTTTTTGTAAATTTTGACAATGGGAAAATCTCAAAATATTTTGTATTACAGTTTTTCTCGCACAGTCCCTATGCTCATAGTCTTTCTCTTGTTACAGAGTCATCCTTGCACAGTGGAAGAGCGTCGCTTATCCGCAGGTACGTGATATCACTGTCTATGCTATCTGTACTGCAAGGCTAATTCTCCCCTAGTCTGTGCTGTTGTGTCGGAAGTACAGTATGCGCCAAAACTTAGAGTACTGAAATGAAAAGCCGCTGTCTCTTCATGTGAAGGCCCTTGCACGACAGAACCTCAGATCCTGAAGAAATGGTCCGATCACCATGTTCCTGTAGCGTTCTTGGGTGACGGTAAGAGCATTGCCTTCCTCAGCCTCAATGAAATAGGGACCTAATATACCGTGTGCTGAGACGGCACACCATATCGTCACACGTGTACTATGTAGTGGTTTCTGGACGATAACATCTGGCCGCTCAGAACCAAGGAAGCGAGTTGTATGGCGACCACTTTCGTATGCGCGGAAATAATTCTCAACTATGAATTCTTTTTCCTCCGTCGAGAGACCCATTTCCAACAACTGCACAACACAACTTCCTTTTCACTACTGGGAACACGTGCGGCTGGAGCTATGCCCCGTCGACAAATGCACATGCGCGTTCATGATGCGCGAGTTTCAGTACTGTGCGTTTTGGCTCATACTGTACGTACCCTAGGCACATTGGGTTTGTTGCAGGTAGAATCATCGTAGAGAGTCGTAATTTGGACTCAAGAAAGAGTGAATTTCACTTTTAGTGGCAAGTTCGATGTACCCCCGTAAATTCTCCTCTACGAAAAGGGCCGGAGGCCTTCATTTGAAAGCGGACAGTTTGGCTTCAGTGGCAACAGTTCTCATTTGCATTCGGGAGGAGACGTGACCGGGATCATGCGTAAAATTAGGCCATGACAACTTTCTTCCGAACCCATTACAGTTCATTCTCGAATCATGTTGCCAGTCTTAACAACTGTCATCGTCGTCACACGAACCATGAGTGGTAAATGAATAAAGATTGCAGTATTATGCAGCACACGCAGAACAGAATCACTCAGGAGAAAGAAATTATGCACGCTGTAACTAACATTACTGCGAACTCTTCATGCACATATTCTCTGTTAAGGCGCGTCCACATTACTCGTGCTCGTGCGTCAGAAGCTTACTGCTGATATCTGTTGTGAAGAAATGCGAAGGCTTTGTATGCAAACCAGTTTGGGCGTCCATTTCGTCAGCTCCAGATCCTGATTTTCCTGCAGCAGTAAGCTTCTGACCAACGAGCACGAGTAATGTGGACGCGCCTTATGGCTGTGATACCCAAATTGGTGAGAGGTTGAAACCATATAGACCTACTGTATCGTTACGCGTGTATGTGTGTGGCTATAGACAGAGTTTGGATTGGATATTGAATTTATTGACACTTATACACACGACTCATAAGTATAAGTAATTACATTGTCACCGCTAGTCTCCACACTTCACAAATCACCACAGCAGCCGCTAAGCGTTTTCGAGCCTGTTGTGTCTTCACCAACCGTTCCCAGGCAACGGCTTCTAACAGTGGAGATCCTTCAGCTTCACACGCTCACGTCGTTACTGTCCGGCGAATATCCCGCAGATCAGCTCATTTCTTCACAGCCTTCCACACAGAACTGCTTAGCAACTGACTTTGTGCCTTGCTTGTAACATTTTAGCGCGGACCACAGAGGCTTCACTTGTTTGTGCTTCTGTCTTAACTGTGATTGCGTCCTAGAGCCACGTTTGATCATCTCGATACCTGCACCCCTAGCGGACAGTGTACGAGACATAAATTGTGTTTCAGTTGCCTGTACAGCCTTTGTTCTAGTCATTCGGTTCTACAAAGAATATTAGCGAGATGCGTGCAGAAACGCTTGTGGGTCTCGTGTAAAGTAGTCAGCAGGTCGGTCGGGTTAATTGGTGCTGGCACTCGCCGGCACAGTTATTCTTGGTTCCGGCTCCTGCGGGTCTCATGAACATAATTTTCTGCCTCTCGCCTCTGAGAGTCGTGCAACTCTTCAGAAAAAACCGTCGTTAAACATGGCCTATCTAAATGACTGAAATGACCCGACAGGTTTTCATAAACTTCACAAGAATCAGGTTCTGTGAAAGTGCATGAATTCAGTGGAGCTGAGCCCTTGAGAAGCCACAAGAATATCCCCAAATTTTTTGGAACCTGAAGGTTGATAACCATTTTTATAAGAGCCAGCGAATGGTTCCTGTCCTGAGCCAGGTGAATCCATTCTATACCACCCATTCCTCTGTCTCTGAAGTTGATATTAATATTACCTTCACACCTGATCTGTGTCGTTCTGCTGGTATCTTGTGGTTTTCCTGTATGCAGTCTTCTGTCTCACTTAATTACGTCTAGTAAAGAGTAGTTTTTTCCAACCTCATATTATTTCACCTCTCGTTGGTCCAGATGTTCTCCTCAGCACCCTTAGTATGTGTTCTCACTTTAATGTCAGAGACCAAGTTGTCCAGCCATACAAAACTACAGGCAAAATTATAGTTTTGTATATTTTAATTTTTACACGTTTAACGGGAGACGAGAAGGCAGAAGGTTCAGGACTGAACGCTAGCAAGCATTACCCGATTTAAATCTGCTCTTAATTTCCTCATGAATCAAATTTTTGATTTCTTACTGTCGTTCTGACTTTGTTCCGGGCATGGCGATGCCTGAGCGGCTTCGCAGGCGCTCCTCAGGTTTCCGAACGCACCTACAGTCTGAATATGAACCTCGTTAATGGGTAACACTGACCATAGTTCCTATGACGAAGATGTGAGACATGGCTGGCTGGAATGAGGTCACATAACTGCGTTTCGAGTTGGATGAAACTGGCATAGGATAGTGCGCAACTTCTATATCAGCAGCATTGAATTTTGGGCTTTATTACCAGCCAGTTCGTGCAGTGGTTGTACGATATTTAAAAGTTTCTCTTTCCAAGTGTACATAGGCCATCTTCAGAAGTATTTGGAGCGTAGAATTACACCATTTAGTCCGGTAGAAATCAACCAGAGTTTCGGAGGAACGTACTGCTTCTGTCTTCAGAGTAGAAAAGCAAACCAAACAGTTAGCCCGTAGGAAATATGCGGTAAGGAAAAGAGTGCATACTCTAGACCCTGACATAGAGGCGGTACATTACTTCAAAACGTCGGTGAACTTCTGCTGGATTGCACGGCGGAACATGTCAGAAGATTTTACTGTTCGTAGTCACCCTTGTGAGAAGCTCAAACCCAGCACCATCACAACTTCTGCCCTCCTGGGATCTGCTTCCTGTCCTTTCGTCGGGGCTAAAGCGGTAGGAGCTTGTAGGTGATTGTTTACCTTGGTCGGTTGTCAAGGTTAAGTCGCCCTGAAGCTATACCCACATTGCTCCACATGTGTTCATGACGTAACGTTTATTCTGGGCACAGGGACAACTTTTCCCTTTGTCTCTCCTTGTACAGTTAGTTGTGTTTGTACCTGGCCTAAACCTGCAACCTTCCCAACATCTCACACTTGCCCTTAGATTGGTCTTTGCGGTATGAATCGCTAGCTTCTCCACCCTACGCGGAAGTTGAGGTGCATTTTTAAGGTAAAAAACCGTTAGAAGAGAATCGCAGGCTGGCACCTTGAAATCCTTGCGTCCTAGTTCCCCTGTTTTTATTCCACCTCCGTCTGTATTTTTACTGGGGTCGTTTTTTAGATGGATGGGGTGGCAGGCACACCGAGGGGAGCTCTCAAGGTGGAAGAGCATAAGGTGTTTACGAAGTAGAAATTTCAGAGTCAGGTTGAATACGGATTTTATAAGAGCTCGCAAACCTACGCGAATTTTCGCTAGTGACTTTTACACATCATGATTTGCCTTCAGTTCGCGGTCTAATGGTGCCAAACTTAACTAATTTAGATGACTTTTATATTTCTAATAAATGAAAAAGCGATGTAACAGTGAGCTAGAAGGCCCGAAACTGGAAAAATCTCGCTCTACCACAGGAACGAATTACGGAGTGGTGTCACGTACCATGAGCGTAAGTTATGCAGTTGGTCACGAACGAGCGAGCATTCCTCTTCTTTAATGTATCCTCTCTTCCCAGTGAGTACTGATAATATGTTGATGTGGATTTGTGAAGTGCAGTATGTTTCATAAATGAAACGATTTACGATTGTTGTTGCGTGTTGTTCGTGGGAGGTTGTGTTAAAGGTCGGCCTCGACGTATCATTCGCTGACATGCTGGACTGGAAAGTATTGCAGGAGAAAGCATGAGAAAGTTTATGTAGCAGAATATGAAGCTTCCCGCCGAAAATTCAGAGGGTGTTTTGTTAGTTTTAGCCTGTTTTCCTTATTTAAGAATAAAATAAAAATGAAAGTAAAAATAGGTTTGAGGTCAGCTTGCTGTCTATGTGTGCATTCATCCCAACAGCCTCTGAACTCCCGAATCGCTCTTCATGTGTTTCATTCCATCAGAGGTCATTTCAGTGGAGTAGTGCTTCATAAATCCCCCTCACCAGTAATACCAACACTGAAGCGTAGACAATATACCTTAATATTATTGGAATGCCTGAGCCAGTTGTCAGAACTTGGATACGCATATAGTGCCACCTCAGGGCGCACTCACCAGCGTTCTATTTATTGACTTATTTATATATACATAATAAAGTTTGGTTCTACCTGTACCACATGCTCTGTTTCTAGTTCATCCCAGAACATGTGAATTATCGTTGAAGTACCGCATGCATGAGGCTCACGGTTGGGCTCTCGTGAACACGATAATACACAAAAAGCGGATAAATTGTTGAGTAGCTGAACGACTGTTAGCTTCTCAGGAAGGATTCTGCTCCATTCAGTTAGTTATCGGAGCACATAGAAACCAGAGTCCATACTTTCAGGCCAGGGCAGCTATACTTGACAGCGTGTCTGTCGCATGGTTTCAGCACACCAGACTGAGGATAGAGCCTAATCCCGATCGAGATACTCCATCATCAGAACCCTTTAGAACTGCGTTGCTTATCGTGCTAAATAGTCACCAAAAAAAACTGAACAGAAGTGACAGAATCTAGCCCCACAAAGCACCATGCATTTTCTACACATCATCTGCATTACATTTTGCCCA